AAAGAAAGAAAGAAAGAAAGAAAGAAAGAAAGAAAGAAAGAAAGAAAGAGAAAGAAAGAGAGAGGGAGGGAGAGAAAGAAAGAAAGAGAGAGAGAGATTACTGCCAAACTGTGTGTAATCACACCGCAATCCTTTTCCTCTATTTCTCTACCCTCTCAAGTTTGGGGGCATGGACACACATGTGTCCTGTGTGTTCTGTGAGCCACACAGGCTGCATTTAAACCTTGGCCAGTCATGTGGGATGCAGCTTTCTATGCACTACAGTTAACCACTAAGCTACAGTGCCATGCCTATTAACACATTATTTTTTCTCTGTTTTTGCTTTTCCTTATTTTCATTCTGTACCCATTTTTATTAACATTGTGAATGAAAACTCTTCTCTGTTTTATTTTGTGATCTTATGTTATTGGTATATCATAAAAATTCTGATTTTTACACCAATCCACCTTAATACTCTAACTAATTTTAATCATTCTTAGCTCATGTTCTTAGATCTTATCGAATTACTGGGTTGTCAGGAAAGTCACAACACATTTTTGCATAGAAAAGTGTAGAAAAATATGTAGTGGCTTTCCTGACAGCCTAATACATCATATGAAAGAAATTATACATTTTTTTCCTCATTTCAAACTCCAAAACTCCTATTTTTGTTCAGATCATATGAAATAGCTACTATTTACAGAAAACATTAAACAATATGAAGATAACTAGTCTGCTCTTTCTTTCTTTCTTTCTTTCTTTCTTTCTTTCTTTCTTTCTTTCTTTCTTTCTTTTTTTTTTTAGTCTGCTTTTTCTAACTGCATAGTTGAATTTCTGTTAACACTCTCCCCCCACCAAGAACTCTAGGAAAAATGCTACGTGAAGTAAAGGTTAAATAATTTTACTGCCCACATCTAAGAAACACCTTTATAAGGCTTTATTTCATAATTTGCTTCATAGGAGTAATTCATGAATCTCAACAGATTAATAAGCAACCTACTGTAAAATATACAGCATAAAAATAAGAATGAGGAATTATTTAGTTTAAAAGAACAAAAGAATAATCTTTATTAAAATAAAGTTCTAATTTGAATGCTAGGATTCTCTTTTACTAAAAAGGATTGAGACGGTTTTGCCCTCCTTAGTACTCTACCCAAGCAATAATTTTAAAATCCAGTCCCTGAATTCTGAAGCTTTTATGTTGAGATCCTACTGCAGAAGTAACTCGATAGCTTTTTGAAAAAACCTGAAAAAAAAAAACTTTGAGATTACCTATTTGCAATAATTGTCCTGACCTTGTAAATGTTTCCATGTGTTAACACTACCTATGAGTAAAAAATTAAAAATTTATAAAATGTATTCTGCATTTATAAAAGATGTAAAAACCAACACCTGGAATATATTTTTATTGAATTAAAATTCCTTTATTTTAATCAAAAACCATTACTAAAAGCAACATCACACATAAAATTTTAAACAGCCTATTGTCAATTAGGTTTAAAGTATTATTATACACTTGAATTTCAAGAGATTCAATTTTTCCTCATATTTACCTTTCAGAAATTGATGTTTCTGTGTCTCCTTCTGTCATATGAGGTCTTGCAATTCCCTGAAATGATTAATAATACTTTTTTTTTTCATTTCATAGTTAAACTTTAAGAAAACTATTTTTATTATGCTAAACTTTCTAGAAAAAAGGAACTTAAGTAGCCTAATAACCTAATATAACAAAGAAATGGAAAAATAATGTTTTAATCTAAAGTATAACCAGAATAATTCTTGTAATTAAAAGTAGGTTTTTAAAACTTTTATAAAAAATCTGTAATAATTCAGTTTCTGAATTGAGGTCAACCAGCAGTTATATCTAGTTATATCAATACCTGCTTTCCTTAAACTTTCTTTCAAATGCAGGCTACAACTACTTGAATAAAAACTAAACTTGAATTTGAAGAACAAGATGCATCCACAGTATTTTACATAAACATATCAAGTATAGACTTTTAGATAAAACATATCTGAAATTATAATTCCATGTTTAGTGTCATGGTAAACCTTCTACTGTCAATCTAAGAATATGAAAAATTAGACTAATTAAATATTTTGATTTTTTTCAAATATTTTATGGGGAGGAAATACAGTAAAATTTCATTGAGCCAGAACCCAGCCTAAACAGTTTGTGACAATTACCAGTTACTGAGCACATATATGTGAGACAGTATTTTAAAAACTTTACATCTGTTATCGCATTTAATCTTTATATTAGATAATATAAAAACCATGTTCAGAAGTTTGTTTATTTCTTCCATGAGTGAAAGAGACAGAGAAAGAGAGAACTCCCAATAGGATCCTGATACCATGATCCACTCCTGGTTTCAGCCAGCCCCGATCATGGGCACTTGGTTGCCAGCACACACAAGGTGAACCAACCTGGAATCTTCCCATGTGGGTCAGTATGCTACTGTCCAGCCCTCAGACCGTTTTTACAAATGAGAAATAAAACTGCCTAAGTTCAGTAGAGAACCCAAGGCAACACTACATTAAGGTAAAGACTCAAGTCTGTCTAGCTCTTAACCACTGCAGCACATTAACTGAAGCATGTACTAATCATGGTATTTTAATCACACACATTTATTTTCTTTCTCTCTTGAAGCCCTGCTAAAAAGAGGGCTAAGAGATAAGATTTTCATTAATAACCAAGAAAACATCAAACATACTAGTTGCTGAAGGTATTTCAACAAAGTGTTAGAAGGCTGAAGGTGGCTGGAGGATTAGCCATTAATAGCACAAAGGAAATGACAATGAAACATTTGCACTGGGGAGTGCAAGAAGAGTAAACTTGCCCAGGGGATCTAAGAAATATGGTAGCTGGACAAATCTAATATAATATCTGGAAAATTAAAGGTAAAAGTGAAGTACAGGGACTGCTGGAAAATAAAAGTGCTCCTTCCTGTAACTCACACAACAGGTACATATTCCTTCTATCACCAATGATAAAGTTATTTATCCTTTATCCTCTCAACTGGAGACAGTACAAACTTGTTGAACAGCAAAGGACAGGCATGAGGCCCAGAGAGGAAACAGAAATATTAAGTAAAAAAAAGTCCATATAGCAAATAGAGACCCATAGTTCCTCTCCCTACCCGGCTCTCAGTATGCTAGCAGCATATCACTCTACCATACCCAGTTAGAATATAAATGATTTCACTTTGGAGAAAATTATCAGCCCCAAAGAAAAACTTCCTGTAATGACAATTAGAGCATCCTCCTCATCAAAAAATAAGCTCAGATTCTGATTGAAGTTTAAACAATGACTATGCAGACTGTACAGGTTGACAGGATGCAAATTAAGGAAGCAACCTTCGCATTATGAATCACATTCATGGTTCTCAAAATGTGATTTGGACACCTGTGGAATCAAAGCCAGTTTCAGGAGGCATGAGAGGTTACAATTCTTTGTACAAAACCAGTGGTGAACGGGCGCGTGTGCGTGCGTGCCCAAGATCCCGAGAGGAGAATGGAGGAGAAGGGATTGCGGCGTGACCATCCCCCCTGGGGGGTGATTTCTCGCTTTCTGTCTCTATGTCTCTCTCTGTCTGTCTGGCGAGCACACGCGCCCTACAGTGAAAATCTCTCCAAAAAAAAAAAAGAAAAAAAAAAAAAACCAGTGGTGAATAAAGGTGCTGGCATCTTACCACGAATCAGGGCAGTGGCACCAAACTTAAAACTCATTGTATTCTGCACTTCCACAAACAAGCAATAAAGTTAATTTTATTAAATTTCCATCTTTGAGTTCATATCTTTTAGAGAGAGAGATTTATTATAGGGTGTGTATGTTCTCTGAAGAGACAGAGAGAGAGAGAGAGAGAGAGAGAGAGAAAGAAAGCAAGAAATCACCTCCCAGGGGAATGGCCATGCCATATCCTTTCCCCTCCATCCTCCTCTTGGAATCTTGGGCAGGCACGCACGCACGCACATGGACCTGGCATGAGTTGCAAGCTGCTGGGTCCAGGACTTGAACCGTGGTAGGCTACGTGGGAGTCCAGCAATGTAACCATTATGCTATCTACTGGTCCCAAGTTTGTATCTTTTCAACATGCTGTGTGATGAACTAAGAAGTAAGTATAAAGCATTACGGTTGCATATGGAAAACACTTGAGTTTGTAATTGAGTTGCAAGCTGATTTTAGCCATCTTTTTTAATGGAATGTCATTTTTATTTTACAGAATGACTATTACACCATGGATATTTAAATTTGGGTATTTAGAGGAAATTTTTGTGAAAATAAATTGAACCTATCACATAAAAAAAATTTGTTGTAATAAAATTAAGTCAGAATACTTTAGGAAAACTCATACCCACCATTGATAAAATTGTTGCTAATATTAATGAATGTGATCGCTCCATATTACATAGTAAAACAGGTCAACATTTGGAAGACCTACGTAACTTGGTGAAACAATTTCTTCCAAATGACCAGTGCATGATGTTACAAAATCATGCATGAATAAAAGATCCATTCAAAGTATAAAACAGACCAAAAGATTTTGATGTAACAAAGTACAAAAAGTTCAATGATATGATGACACATTCCATGCTGCAAAAAAGCAATTCCGCTTGTCTAGTACTAGTGTATAAAACAAATAATCACAATTATTTGAAAAGATTATTGAGGCACTGGGAGAGACTGGATATTCTTCTTATGTTTCAACTAAAACAACAGACTCAATTCAGAAGCAAGAGAATCCAGTTCACTTCTATTAAGCTAAATATTAAAAAGATACAAAAAAAGTGGTGCCATTCTTAACACTAAATTCTTTGTTTTGAAAAAGTTGTTTTTCAGAAAAAACAATGTTGTTAATGTTAACATAGTGGGTTTACTATTGTTTTTAAGTAAATTAAAAGTATTTAAAATGTTTTTTCCCAATTTGGAATTTTTTTAAAAGGTTCATTTAATTTCATTTGCTATCGTTATTATTAGTTTTTAATTCAACCAGGGAGAGACAGAAAGGGAAAGCGAGAAAGGAAGCTGCCACGCCCAGGACTTAAACCGTGGTCAGCCATGTGGGAGTTCAATGCCCCAACCACCACATCACCTGCCAGCTCCTGGAATTTCTAATAGGGTAAATATCAATGATTTTTGAGAGAGAAAAAAAAAAAAACAGTAAAAAGGTGGGTGCTATGCACCTTAGTTCAACTATCATTCAGGTAAATACAATTTTAGACGTGCAAAGACTTAAGATGTTAAGATGTGCTTCCTCCTGAGGAAGCTAGTAGAGGACATACTTCAATAAAATGATGAGTAAACTAAGAAAAACTCATGATTTAGGAATTAAGACCTCCAACAAAAAGAATGGCAAAGGAAAATCCTGATGCAACAAATCACGCAGCATTAGAGAGTAACTAACTCAAGTTGAAGCAGAGTGTCTGAGAGATTTCCAACCTCCTCTCCCAAAATCCTATTTTTGATGGGTATGAACATTTGGGGAAAATATTTCAAAATATTACACAGATAATTACAAGATTTTTAAAAATCAGCATTAGGTGCAAAGAAAAGTAAGCAAATGATTAAAAGAGATATACTTTTTCTTTTCTCTTTTTTTTTAAATGATTGATTTTTAATTTGACCAGAGAGAGAGAGAGAGAGAGAGAGGGGAAAGTAAGGAAAGCAAGCTGCCAGGTCTAGGATGTGAACCATAGTTGGCCATGTGAGAGTCCAGTGCCCTAACCACTATGCCACCTGCTGGCCCTCAACAAGTAAACTTTTTAACAACAGAAAAACAAAATGAGGTATTTAGGAAAGGAAATCATGTCGAGATTACTGCTATATCAAATGATACTAGAATCTGAGGCAAAAGGAAAATGTGTATTCCTATATACAAGATTTTGTGCAGTTTAATGTTTTCCTAGAACATTATCTGAAAAAAATACTAAAACAGTGAAAAGTAGGTGAATTAAAATACAAAACACTCACTTAAGTTTAAACATTTTGTTCCCACCAAAATCAGAATTATCATTCTACTTTCCCGCCTTTCATAGATGTAAACATGTCAATAATACATTTTCAAAATCTATTTTCTTATATTGTTTTCAAATGAGTAAGTTGCAATGTTTAAGATCTCTTAACAAAGTGACAATCATTAAAAACTTCAATATTTAGGGACCAGCAGGTGGTATGGTGCTTAAGGCTCTGGACACTCCCACATGGCCAACCACGGTTCAAGTCCTGGACCTGGTGGCTTGCTTTTTCACTTTCTCTCTCTCTCTCTCTCTGTGTCTCTCTCTGGTCAAATTAAAAAAATAAATAAATAAATAAATAAATAAACTTAAATCTTTAAAAAAAAAAAACTTCAATATTTGATAAACATCTAGAAGGGCCAACAGGTGGCGTAGTGGTTAAGGTGCTGGACTCTCACATAGCCAACTGAGGTTTGAATCTCAAATCTGGTAGCCTGAAAGTCCCATCAGGCACGTGTGCGTTCCCAAAATGCCAGGAGGAGCATGGAGGAGAAGGGACTACGGTATGGCCAGTCCCCCTGGGGGGTGATTTCTTACTTTCCTTCTCATTTTCACTCTCTCTCTCTGGTGAGCACATAAGCCCCATGGCAAAAA